AAAAAAAAAAAAAAAAAAAATGGAAAACTACCTTGAAAATAGAAATGGAAAAGTTTCAATACCAAAACGCAAATCCATTTTTCTCTTCATTAGCTCTAGAAACTTCTAATTCCATTTTGATGAATCATAATCTTTGTATCCTTGACAACGGCAATCTGCTTCAAGTTTATCTTGTTATTCAAATGAAGTAGATATTAAAAGGAAATCTTAATTGAGATTTTCAGCGATTTATTATGATCACACAAAAAATATAATGTAGTAGTAATATATAATGGTAATTGAACTAAATTAAATGGAATAAAATGAAATGAATTTTTTATTTTTTATTTGAAACGTTAATTTTTGATGGGGACTCGATAGCAACAATAACTTAAGAATTTTTCTTGTGAGGGTGGGGGGGGGGTATGTCCATGAGTAGGGGGGTAGGGTAGGGGATCTTTAGTTTTGGCAGTTCCAGTGAGTTCTATAAATGGGAATTCTTAAATGCAATAAAAATTTTCAGATATGGATTCTCTTGAAGCTGTATCTAAATTAAGCTTTTACTTCCCCAAGAAAAGTGGAATCGATGAAAAACTAATTGATTTAAGTAGTCAGGCATGGAATCAAGATAAACTTGAAATGCTAGAAGGTAAAAAAATATTATATCAATAAAGTAGTATACTTTTGAATCAATGAACTTACGTTTTCCCATGAAAATTCCAAAAACGGTCGAATAAGAGAGAATTCTTGAGCAATTTTCTTTCCAACGAGATCAGGTAGAATAGCATCGAGACTCGAGCCAACACTTGTGATTGTCATTGAATGATCGTAAACAATGTGAAAGGGAAAAACCTCGTAAAATACATCCATGTGAATATTTGCATTCTCTATTTCGTCGTTAAGAGAAATGACAGAATGTCTTTTTGGTCGTCTCCTAGCGGCTATGAACGCACGGTTGTCGAAGTTTAACTGGATGACTGCCGAAAATCCTTCTTTGCTTTCCCGCTGATCTAAAACTTCCATGTCAATGTCCTGATCATAAAATACTCTTCCAACTTCTTTAATCTGTCCTATAACATAATAAAGAAATCCTTTACGAGATGAACGATAGTGGATCTTCATTCCACGTTCTGTCTCATCTGTGCAGAAGAAAGAAGGTGCCTTCAATTTTGGATACGTGAACCTCATAAACTCGTGCAGATTATCAAGGCCATTGAGAAAATCCCGAATATGCCGTCCTAAAACCCGTAATATTTTATCATAACCATACTGTCCTATAAAATTCACAAATAAAGAGCCGGTAGCTTCAAGAACATCGTCTCTGCGATCTCCAGTAACTTCAACAGCCGAAGTTATAAGTTTTTGAAGAAGCGAGTCCGAATAAATGTGATGTGTCGAGAAGGTATGGTGCTGGACGCCTGCATGATCAATTATTTTCTGCCAAATCTCAGATCCATAACGATTAACCAGGAGAGTTTGGAAGTTTTCTAGAAGGAGACCATAAACCATGACAGCTTGTACGGTGGAAATCCTACGTGACAGCAACCTTAGACGGCAGCTCTTGAAGTTGTCATTAAACCAGGAGAAAATAAAGATCGCAATTAAAAATGGCCATCTTCATGACTTCTACAGCCCCAAATCTATCAGCTAAGTAGTCCTTGGTCTTAAAGGTAATTTATGAGCGTTGTTTGAGCAGAAAGCATTAAAGTGGTCGAATATTTCGATTACGAATGGGGAGAGTTAGTCGGTCGTCAGTCCATCGGTCCCCAAGTCCAAATGTATCTTGATTTGATGGTATTAGATTACGCGACCTTAATTTATATGCCGAACGAATCGCATATCTTTTTCTTAAAGGAATACAATATGTAGCGCAAAAATACAAAACTAATTTGAATTGAACTCAGTGAACTAAAGAAAACTCTAAACAAATAAACAATGAGATTGTCAGCGGTCAATGCTGCGGTCGGCAAAAAAAATTATATTTTATCTGATCACGTTAACAAGAGGCGGCCTCCGCAAAGCAGTTTTTTTGCCATTACATGCAACCAGAATAAACGATGTGAGATAAATAAAGACAAACAAAAATTATAGGAAATTACATAAGAAATACGAAAATTCTAAAGAATTTTATATATCCGTGAGTACAATACTGACTCTCAAATGGCTTTCGTACAGTGAGTATTGTGATTGGATAAAAAAAATTTTTCAGCGTTTTGATTGGTGAAAAATAGTAGAAGCCATTTGACGGCCGTAAGGGCCGAATATCGTTCCTGAGGTATAATCGATGTTTCGCAGGCGAGCCGTAATTTGTCGTAACTTTTTTTTATCAAACAAATACCAGCTCAAATCAGCGCAGCGGCCTTGCTGTGTCGTTTCGTACGTACTGTGAGTTTTCTCACTCAAACAAAAACCAGTCGAAAAATTAAAAAATTAATTAAAAGTCACAAATAACATTCGCTTTCAGGTTTGTTGTCTTTCATTGAGATAGCAAAAACCGTGCTATTTTTATTATATATGATTTTATGTTGTTTAGTTAGTGTTTTTTCGTTCTTTCCATCTTCTTTCCTTTATTTCTTTCCTTCTTTTTTTCTTTGTCTTAAATGTAAAATTTCTCTTCCAGATAGCTTGACACAACTTTGGCTTTCCGATCCTTCATTCACAAAACTCTGATGCGGTTAATGAAGCGAAAGTCCTTGGGCAGTATGTTTGCAGACCATTGATTATTTCCACCTAATAAAAACGTTAAGCATAACTAAGCAAATTACACAGAGGTAATTACGTTATAGAGTCATATATAATACTTTTTTAGTGTTTTTATTTACCGTGTTTTTCACACGATAACGGCTGCCCTTTTCTTGTTTGATTCTCTTGTTTCTTTTTGCTTTTGCTTGGTTTGTGTGCTTTTAATTTTTGCCTTTATTGCCCTTTGATATAATTTTCAATTTTTGGAACAGATTTGCAAGGACCTTCTTGGAAGAGCATTCAAAGTGGCATATTTGTCTGATAATCCATAATTGCAGAATAGTATAGGGATGGATGGAGGGAGGAAGGGAGGGATGGATAGATGGATGGAGGGAGGGAGGAAGGGATGGATGGATGGATGGTATGCATGGATAGACGAATAATAAGAAAGAAGATGTGTGAATAGTTTTGATATAGTATTGAATTCATTACTGATAAATGTTCTACTTATTCTACTCTAGAGACTTCATGCCAGCCATCTGTACTGATCACTCACCCTTCATTGTCAGAGATCGATTTATYAAGACTCCAGTGTGAGTATTAAATACCTTAAGACTTTAATCTATTGTTCAAGCAGGGTTCCCCAGGGATGGGGTACCCCTTTGTCCTAGTGGTAAGGCTGATCAGAGGTCCTTTCAGGGTGGAAAATATTCCCTGTGTGAACCTCTTAGGGGTTCCAACTCAAAAATCAGTTACGTAACATTACTCTTACCTTTTAGGGCCAATTGTTGTTTGTCTTTTCTTTATTGAACACGAAAGAACAGAAGAAATATGTTATCTACTCACTGATTAAACATGGTATCAGCACAATCACTTTCAATCATTATATGGTCGTACCTCTTTAGGGGTTGAGATCAATATTTCTTCAACAGTTCAATTTATGCTTACCTTTTAGAGGGTCTTTTTCAAAACCAACCACTTGGAAAAAGGGAATACCCCACCCCCCTCCCCCTGGGCAAGGTTTACAATGAAAAAGTACTGCACTGAAACCATTTATAAACCTTTTTGTTGCAGAAAATACGATAAACTCTGATTTTCAGTAATTATGAGAACTCAGATTTAACTACAGTATTCAAAAGTAATGTTTAGTAATGTATATAAAAATTGTAGGATTACTTAGAATTTTCCACACATGCTTGTTATCTGATTGTTTTTCCTTCTGCTGTCAGCAGTAAGAAAACAGCCCCTGTGAGAAAAGCAGTTGCAGCTGCACCAGGGCTCCCTGYCGAAGATAGTAGTGATGACAGTGACAGCTCTGATGATGACAGTTTTGGTTCTCTGTCACCACAGAAAAACTCAAGCAGTGATGTCACTTTTGCATCCTTTAAGGTGAGAATGGGTTCTAGATACTCTAAGTGTTTCTTGTTCGAAGGATGACACTTTGTTCATGTACGTCCCATAATACTSCAGTGTCTTGTTCCCGTAGCCTTGATTTAAGTCTATAAGTTTTGAGACTAATAAATATTATTATCTTCATCATCACCATCATCATTATCACCATCATCATCATCACCATCACCTCATCATCATCATCATCACCATCATCACCTCACCTCATAACCAAGGCCTTCTACTAAACATAATAAAAAATACATTCCTGCACATGCTATCTAGGCTAACTCTGAGCAATAGAGACTTGAAACTGGGGTGTTGGGAGCAAGCTCACTGCCTTGCTCTGYTCTGACGTACCACAGTATTCTTTGCCATGCTAGCTAGGCAGCTATAACATCAGAAACCATTTTTTACAAAATCAAAATCCAGTTGCTCCCTAGATCTCGTCTAACTTGACAGAACATGAGTCATGTAGTATTAAGTTTGTACCCAACATATACCAGAATGCACATGGTTCCTCAAATTAGAAATTGCACTCAAAAATCTTATCTGTGAATTGCTTTTAGACTAGATAGTGTTACTAAACGAAATGATGCTTTTTTAAAGGATCTAATGCCTTCCATGAAGGATGTGTATGGCGTAGGACTAACCAAACCAAGTGATAGCAGTTATCAAATGTATGCAAGGTAATGTACAGTTAGTAGCAGCAAGCTTCAAAGACAACAGAGGACCCTTACAGTGTGACTACTATAAACGGGGCCACCTAGACAGTGAAAACCAATCAAATTGTAGAATGAAAAATGATACATTCCTTCCAACTTTGGGTAGTGGAGGCAATCAGAAAGCAGCACAGAAAACAATAATAGACTTTCAGCATATTTTTTTATCCCCACAAATGAATGATCTATCTATCTAGTTGTTTACACATAACAYCAGGGTCAAATTACAGTTCTCATGCAGTCTAGGTTTCTGATTGGCTTCACTACCCAAATTTGAAATGCATTGTTTTTGTTCTCCATTTTAATTGGTTCCCTTGTCTAACTGTCTATGTGTCCCCGGTTATAGTAGTTGCACTGTARAAGATATTTTTAGCAAAAATGTAGGGAAAAGTTGTATACATCTCCCTCATCTGCATTATTTTTACACTCAACTTATCTGATGAAAAAGTATTTTGAATTCATCAAACAAGGATAATTATTGGTTTTTTCATTTTATTTTGCTTTTAGATTTGCTGAGATTGCTAAGGCTGCAGAATCCAATCATGAAAGTCCAGTAAAACCTATCAACTATATAATGTAAGATTTGACAGTAGTCATCCTTTACAGATATTAAGTTAATAATTATTACTCTTCTCTTGATTTTAATCCTGTATTTGTTCCTCACTTTTATCTATCCATCCATCTATCTCTTCTTCATTTCATTTCTTTCTTTTTCCTTTCCTCATTCACTAAATCCCATTCCTTTCATCCCACTACATCTATTCACCCATCCATTCATCTCATTAAAGTCTAGCCTATAATCCATTAAAATTTACGTTAACTATGGTTTGACTAAATAGTACAGAAGACACCAAATTGAAACATGGCGAACAATTTGAACAACTATTGTTCTTCACTGGCTAGGGACTGACTAGCTTTGTGTTCAGATGGAAACAAAGAATTTTCTCATGTATGAGAGGCTTGTCAGTGCAGAACAATAGTTATTGAAATTTGTCACCCTATTTCGATTCAAAGTATAGTGCAATGTCGGAACTCTATTAATTTCAATATTTGGTTTTAGAATGACCACAGTAAATCTGTGAAACTTTAGTAATACTAAATAGCACAATTTCATGCAAATTCCATTGTTTTCTATTGTTTAATTAGCACTATTTTGTACTATTTAGTAATTAGTGTTTCACGGATTAATTGTTTGCTTTCTACTATTATACTATTTAGTGCTAAATAGTAATAGTTAATATAGTACTAGTACCTGGACCACTTTGATAAACTAATATCATTATTAAATCATATTGCGACATTTAGTTCAATATTTTTAACCTTCCAATCAGATGGCACACCAACATAATGAAAGAGTGAGAACATTATGATCTGATTGGCTAACAATGTTATCAGTTCAATCTCTGTCTAGTTTACTGTCATCTGATTGGACAGTTTTATGCAAGAGGTCCTGGTTAGTGTGTCCAGTAATGGATGTGCTCAACCATTTTTTCCCATCTTTTTAATTTCACATTTCCTGTTACCAGTAAAACACACTTCTCCCATGACTCTTTAAGACAAGTCAAGCTGCCGTCTGTAGACAAGTCCKCCAAGATGCTCTATGTAGGTTATACACAGACCACTCGTCATGGTAACATTGGCATGCCTATAAACAGTCACTCAATATACATATATAGAAAATATACTCATAATTCTCACCAGTAGCTCATGGATAATAACTTCTAAGATCATCATCAGCTGTGAAGTGTCGCTAACAACAAGATTGGTAAGAAAGATTTTGTTGCTGATGGGGTTGCTAA